CAGCAAATAGCACATCACTTTACATGTCATCCCACAAGCCATTGATCAAGACAAGGAACGAAGCAGGGCCAAGGACTCTTGTGACTTAGTGATAAATAATGCAGAAAGAGGAATAGCACCCATTCATCAAATGTTTCAGCGCCTTGGGACGTCCTCCCAACGTGAAAGGCGCTATACAAATGTAATCTTGTTTTTGTTGTGGTTGTTGTTGAGGTTTAACCGGTCTTCATCCCCTATGTGTACATTACTGTATTACCAATCTCCATTTCCGTGTGTACATTACTGTAATAATAATCCTTGCATTTGATATAGCACCTTATCACGTCATTTAGACGTCTCAAAGCACTTCAAAGAACACACTATGAAGTGAAATGACTGTATATTTTGTGGGCCAAATGTCGCAGCCAATTGTGCACAACAGTGTCCCACAAACAGCCTGGATTACCAATCTCCACTCCATGTGTGTACATTACTGTATTACCAACCTGCACTCCCTCATGTGTACATTATTGTATTACCAATCTCCACTCCCCCAACGATTAGTGTTACGTGCGTTCGGTTAGTGGAATTGTGTGGGTTACTGCAAATTAGACCCAATTATGTGTACATGACCGAATTACTAGGATGCATGTCATGCATATTGCAGATCTGTAACTTAGTTTAACCTTCCCTATTTCTTCATACCACTTGTACTATTTGTGCTAAATATCTTTGTTCCTCCAGCCATGCACAATGCAGTTTCTACACTCTCCACCTTTACATAATTGTTGATAGGTTTTGGTCCCTCGGCACTTAGAAATTGTTGAATTATTTGTCTCAAATTTCTTCTAAGTCCTTGCTGTCTCATATAAATTAATGGAAAAGCCACGCATGAACAAACAATAAGCCAGCACCAACCTGAATATCACTGCATTTGAATATTCCCTCACATTTGAAAAACATGTGTAGAGCATCTTTTATGTCAGGATGACAGCCCAAGGCACTGGACAGTCAGAGATTTGGACCTGAGCAGGGGTCGGGACCATGAGAGGTGGAGGGCAGACGGGATAGGGGTAGCAGAGTGACCAAAACTAGGGGTAGTTGAGACGTGCCTTGAAGGAGGCAAGGGAGGGAGCAAGATGAAGAGAGTGTCGGATGGAATTCCAGAGAGTGGGGGCGGAGAGGCTCAAGACCTAACCACCGATGGTGTGGATCCACCACTATATGAATAGTTTTTTTTTCTGTATAGATAATGTCCTTTCTTTCACAAATGTTAGTTATGTTTCTCATGGACTTAATGAAAATGACAAAGAATTGTTTTTTATATTAAAAAAATGCATTGTTGGATTGCGTATTACACTAAACAAATGATAATATGATCTTACTCATTTGTAAATTGTAGCAAGAAATACACTTCACTTAGGAGGGGAGGAATGGACAGCAATGGAAAGACCCATCTCATCCCAAAATACCATACAAAACTACATGAATACACTTCAATTACAATCCTGAGATTTAATCAAAGAATTGAAGTCTGCACAATTATTTCCATTTGTTATTTAAGCAAAGTAATTTCTATCAACACACACCACATTTATACACAATCCAGAAATGTCATTCACATTTCCTTCCACCTCCTTTACAAACTATAAAGTCAATTCACTTTACAGTATATTCTGTGAAGCGCTTTGAGAAATCAAGAAGACGTGATAAGGCGCTATATCAAATGCAAGGATTTTATTATTATTATTATCACTGTCACTGTATTTCACATTATAGTCTGTGAAATGTTTTGAGACAGTTTGGTAACTGAATAAGATACTATATTAAAGACAACAACAAGAAATTACATTTGTAGAGCATCTTTTATGTCAGGATGACATCCCAAGGCACTGGACAGTCAGAGATTTGGACCCGAGCAGGGGTCGGGATCATGAGAGGTGGAGGGCAGACGGGATAGGGGTACCAGAGTGACCAAAACTAGGGGTAGTTGAGACATGCCTTGAAGGAGGCAAGGGAGGGAGCAAGATGAAGAGAGTGTCGGATGGAGTTCCAGAGAGTGGGGGCGGAGAGGCTCAAGACCTAACCACCGATGGTGTGGGTCCACCATGGAAGGACTTACTCCTTAAAAACAAGGATTATCATTTTTATCATCGTCCACTGAACAACTGACAAAGTGCATTATTTTAATGCGAGAGTTTCAGCTACATCTGAGCTGAAATAAATGGCCATTACACTGATAAATTAGTTAGCCATGTAACAAGAAATCACAACCATTTAAAAACTAAGACACCTACTTCATTGAAATAAGAATAAGCCCAATAGTGCGATCTTGTTAAGCTTGTGATGGGGTTAAAATGATTTAATTAAATATAAATTGTGAGGACATTTTATAATATGTACAGTTTTAAGAGACTTCAAACTGAAAGAAAGAAATTTTAATGCAATTAACTTCACAGAGAAAACATTTGTGAAATTATGGGTTCATAGATTTCGCAGGAATACCAAAAGTGAAGGCTCATTAGTGGTGAAGAAGCATTGTGCATAGAAAAGATGAACCAGTTAGTTTGGAGCATGAAATTCAGTGGAAGGAAACCTTCCAGGATTGTTCACATTCCCACAGTATTTTTAAAAAACATGCGAGCAAGTAATTGTTCTCAATTATATTCCATACGGGATATAAAGATTAAGCAACAAATCTGTTGGCTTTTAAACAGGTTTCAAAAGGGATTTTATTTCTCTTGCAATGGAATGTCTAAATTAGCTGATGTATGAAGAGGTTCCAAAGAACCTTTCTTTTTACTGAGCAAATGTGTTTTGTTCGTTGTGCGAACCCTTTAACATAATTCGCCTACAAGTATAAAGATGAACTCGACAAGTTCGCCTAAAAATGGGCAGTAACTATATTAATTATTACTATAATATCAAAACTAGTCGGCTGCATAAACACATGAAACTCACTCCCTCAGCTGTTTTCCCTCCCTTTAGCAAAGATAGAGGGAATAATTCTCCGATCACTGGTAAATTTACCGACCTTGGTCGATGGGTGTGTCAGATTCCCTGTTGATTGTAAATGTGCTGACCTTGATGGTGCAATACAATGGCATTTTCCACTATCTATTGCCTCTTTAAGCATGTGCCCGCGCTTGGTATTGTCCAAGTTTAATACTGGTTTACAGAGTGGACATTCAGCTTTGTAGCCAAGAGAAAATATATATATATATGTGTGTGTGTGTCTATATTTATATATGTGAATTTACTAATTCATTGTAAAAATGTATTCCTTGAATAGGCTTATATTTGAGCCTGATGTGATTTTCAAGGTGAACCAACAAAAACACCATAATATAACTAACAGTTTTATAAGTTTTGTTCCCAACTTAGAGATGTAGTGTAACACCACACAAGGAAGGTAGTCTCATCAATTCAGCATTGCACCAGCTGTAGCATAATTGCAGACTAACTTGCAGGCTAGCTTGTGCAAAGCGAACATTAAACCTTAAAACATTAAGATTTTTAGCATCAGTAAAGAGCTGGCAGGACTTGCCACTCTAAACTAACCTTTAAAAAGGCATTCATTCATTAATTAGTTGATTCATTTATTCATGGCAGCAGGGACTCTGCACATGCCATAAGCGAATATTAGCAGACAACGTAGCCCCGCTACAGAATGACACAGAGCTGACAGCATAACTCTGGTCTCCTGGCTCTGCACTTCTCTATCACATGCACCACACCTAACTGAGCAGACAGTGTAATCAGATATCAACTTCAAGCACTTAAAACATCTACCTAAAAAAGTTCACAGTAAAAAAGTACATAAATGCATCTTTCAGCCACTACACCCTAATACTCTGGAACACTCTCCCTCAATCCCTCCGCCTTTCCCTCTCTCTCCCCTTTCTCAAGTCCCGCCTGAAAACCTTGCTTGTGGACCGTGCTTGGTGCCATCTCCCCGGCTCAGAGTTCAGGCTCATCCACTGTTAAGTGCTCTCAGAGATGCTACTCTGCTTGGAGGGCGCTATATAAGTGCAACTTGTTGTATTTAATTAGTTGGTATAAACCTTGGACTGTCCAATGCCTTGAAACAGCCTCCTGATGTGAGAGATTATTAAATGTAACTTTCTATTCTATTGTATTTACTGATTCACCAGATTTGAGCAGGGTAAATTAAAAAGTAATATGATAGAGGTTTTCAAAACTCTGCTAAGTTTTTAAAAGGATAGTCAATAGTCCACTAGTTAGTGAAATCAACAACAAAGGAGTAATACAAATACACAATCACTACACTTCACAGCATAGCATTTTGAAGCACTTTGAGACATCGACGATGTGATAAGGTGTTATGTCACATGCAAGAATTATTACTGTTATAATTTCAGTAATATCACTGAAAGAATTAAAGGGATATTTTTTCCCACCCACATTTGTTTAAAATGTGAAATGCTTCTCCAGAAGTGGCTATAAATAATAAATATTAATAATCCTTGCATTTCATATAGCGCTTTTCATGTCTCCTAGACGTCTCAAAGCGCTTCACAGAATATACTGTAAAGTGAATTGACTGTATATTTGTGAGCGAAACACGGCAGCCAATTGCACACAGCAGTGTCCCACAAACAGTCATGGAATGAGTGACCACATTATTTTTTTAGGAAGTATTATCCCCGGAAAAGCGATCTGCCATGTCGACTGATATCCGGATTCCTACTTACTGCTAGATAAACAGAGGCGTGTGGAGTAAGGAAACTTGCCCAACATTTTGCCCTGATGCTATTGATGCTGGGTCCATAACATAAAAGAAAATTGAAGGAAAGCTAACACAAAGGGTACGGGCAGGGATGAAGAAATTCGGATCAAAGTATATAACAATCGAAGTTTGTGGTTGTATGATTCTATGATTTGCAGTAGTTCAATCACAGTTCCTCATCGTGCATCTTACCAAAAATTCATACGTCACTTTAAAAGCAGAGAAAAATCCACACCCAAGAAAGTGAATTTTCAACTAAATAAGAACTCACTTAGATATGGTGGCTTGTAAGGTGCACGTGTACTGGTCAGAAGCGCATCATATTCTTTCCTGTCCAAATTGGATGGATGTGACTTTTCTTTTCCAAATGTCGAGAAGGATTTCTCCCCAGTCTGCTCTGGAGCTTCGTAGACCTCAGTGTCAGGCACAGAGTCCATGCCGGGGACATGCAGATTGCTGCGGTAATCAGAGCCTTGGCGACCATCTGTAGGCACAAAGGTTGGCATCCAACATCGGTCTGAGTGCCCCAGAGCTTTACACTCTTCTGTGCAATTGGAAAAGAGATCAGCACCTACAGGCAAGACAATCAGAAACAGACGGCATTACATTGTGGTATCAGGAAAGCTGCCCGTCCACTGAGGCCTGCAGGATTTCACACTTACATTGGTTGCCTACTTGCTTCAAAACTTACATCCCTGCCAATGCTTCCCTGGCGTGATTAGCATTTCCCCCCACCCTCTTTTCTCCCTCTCACTCCTGCTGGAGCGGAGACAAAACCGCAATACCTTCATTTAGAGCTGTCTTTATGTACTTGGATGAACACGAAATGGAAAGGGCCCACCAACCTTTCCTCAGGCTTGTCATTCTCCCCATGGTACAGCCAGTGAACAATAGTCGTCCAAATGTAACACTGCACTGAGAAAACGTAGGGCCAAGGGGATATTAACATTCTAATAAACCTTCCTTCCCTCGGTAACACAAACAAGAAGATCTTTTAGTACTGCCTCACAGAAATGTTGATAAGTGTACCTCAGCGGCAGAAAAGTCAACCGGGGATGGAGTTTTGTTGTAGATTTTCCCCACTGTGAATTCTTGCAACTGCAAACCTTCATTTTCTGTAAAGGGCAAGACTAACCTGCTTATTGATGCACGTAAGCAGAAAGGTCATCTGTTTTTGTGCCCGGCTGACTTACGCCGTTGTTGGAAGAAATGTATCTAAGTTGGAGAAGGAAACCGTTTCATGTTCATACCCAGAGTGACTTATACTTGCCGCAACTGCAGGCACCGCTTGTGATACATATCAAAGCCCGTTCATAGCCAGTCACACAAGCTTTGATTACCGAGAAGGGTTGCTTATCCATACAGCTTTAAGACACAGAGAACACTAATGAGCTGACATCAGGCACCAGAAAAATAGCCTCATTAGTTTATCTGTTACAAGGAAACCATAATGGTTTGTATGATAGAGATTCCAAATCCACTTCGGGCGCTGATGTGCACTCATTCCCCTGGCCTTCGTCATACCAGCATGTAACTCCTCAATTTGGATTTTGAATTTCTATTCTTTTTAAATTATATATGGCTTCTGGGTTCATCAAGGTGAAGGATGTCAGCGTTGGGAATAGAACACTTATAGCAATATTTTGTACCTAGCGTCAGCATACAGCAGTCCCCAGTTGGGTTATAGCATGGGTTGGATGCAGAGGAAAATAAAATTCACGCACCAGCACTGCCATCAATGGCAACATTGAAGAAGAACGTAGGACCAAATTCAACGGCATCACCAAAATCACTGACAGCTCTGCCACTGACCAAAAGCAGCAGCATATTCAGCATGCCAGGAGCCAGCAATTTAGCCCTTTCTCCTTCTGCCTCTGGAGACAATCTTTTCGTTCTAGTTTCGGGCAGTTTGGGCCCCCACCTGTGCGGACTCATGATGCTATTTCTAGATCGCTGGCCTGCAAAGACTTTCTCCGAGCACAGGCATAGGTCTGGTTCTCTTGTATGCAATTTGCAAACAATTGTGCATATGCAGGCTTACACAGGCAATGTTTGTTACCATCAGAGCCGAAACGTTTGTCCTGCAATGTAAATGGGGCAAATTGCATAGCGCCAGCAGCCTAAACCATAACAGAACCACTTCAACTGTGATCTAAATAGGTCAGACAGCTCCCCCTACTCAGTCCCAACAGGGTACCTTAATCCCACTCCCAATCTCATAAAGGCACCGATGTGATGTTTCTACTCCCAAGTGAGCTGTATCCTCATGATCACAGGAATACTGCCATATCCTAGTAATGAGTACAGGTGATGCACCATTCATGAATGAGGCTCATTAAATTAGCCTAAAAACAATTTCAGACAGAAGCAGCCTGTCGATCTTACCATCCTGTCCGAAACCACAGTAACAATATCATCAGCAGACCATTGGTCCAACTAGCCTAAACCTCTGAAACACAGAGATCTGCTCAATCTGATTTCATCTGAAACGAGGAGCAAGCAGCACTGCAGAGATACAGCTACCTGTTTGTATATGCACCAGTTCGCCACACTTCAGAAGAAACTGGAGCACCCAGTGTGTAGGTCAATATACCAGGCTGGAATCACAGCAATTTACTCACCCACCTGAATCTGCCAGTCTGAGGGAAAGTCAGGTTTGAAAGGAGATAGGTCAGTTCCCATTCTTATTATGATACATCATTAATGTCTTGGAAAAGATCAGCTTCTGGGGTGTCCAAATGGAGATGCCACGGACTGGCAGAGCTCATTTTCGCCTTCGGGAATAAGCTTTCGGTGAAACCTTGTGGGGCACCAATTCATATTTGAATTCATTCCAGAGAATATGAGGTGTTGGTTGGCAAAAGCCAAGACTCGGGGACCTCAGATTGTGCATTAGGGTACTGCTAGAGTTTAACCATCTTAAAAACACACGCTTTCCAGTGAGCGTAATGTCTGATAAGTTTCCTCTTGCTTGTCCAGCTACGACTACCTCACCTGCTACGGTTTCAGCTTTCAGAGTTAGCAGAAGTCAAGTGGGAAGAATCTCTGACCCTCCAAGTTCTGCTGGTGAGTCAGAAAGGTTGGTCTGTCATTAGCAAAACTGCCTGGTTCAGGAAAGGATTACTTAGATGACCACTTATTTCCTACATTTAATAATAATAATGCTTGAATTTGAAATAGCGCCTTATCACGTCATTGAGATATCTCAAAGCAACAACAACAAGATTCCATTTATAGAGCGCCTTTCACGTCGGGAGGACGTCCCAAGGCGCTGCACATGATATACTGTAAAGTGAATTGACTACATTTTTTAGGCAAAACATGGCAGCCAATTGCACACAGCCATGTCCCACAAACAGCCATGGATTGAGAGACCAAATTTATTTTTTATTTTGCTTGAAGGAAATATTCCCCCTGGAAAGCAATTCGCCAATCGACTAATAACTGGGTTCCTACTTACTGCTAGGTAAACAGAGGCGTGTGGAGTACTGAAACTTGCCTAAGATTTCGCCCCACCTGGAATCGAACCCGGGTCCTCTTACTTGCGAGGCGAGTGCTCTAATACGCTACAGGACTCCAAACATATCTCCTTGGAGCCAGCTCAGCTCAAGGAGACTGTGCTTATTTCCCCTGCAACACTATCCCTCCCCCACTCCCCAAGAAGGACAGGGCTCCATAAACTATTTTGAAGAAGAAATAAGCAATAGCATTTATAGTTAAATAATACTCTAGTCTAAAAATATTTGATTTGATTCCATAAAATGTTGACACTTGCATTTTTTTTCAATGAAGCACAAAATACAATATAAGGAGACCTATTAAATTCAATAGTGAGATTAAATTTCATTCATTGTGGTGTAAAATAGTACTGTATTGGTTACGACCTGTTCCAAAAGATCAAATCTCGCTTAAAGTCAAAACGCTTAGATTAAAATTTTAGTCGATGGTCATTTAAGATTAATTTCTCTGACCTTCTTCCAAGGCCACGATAATGTGTTAACCAGATCACACTTTTAAAGTGACTTTTTGCAGGACTTCATGTTAAAACGTGAATCTTTTGAATCAGTGGAATAATGATAGCATGTTAAACTTTGCTAATGTTTCTCTGAAGGCTTTCAGTACTTTGGGTCTAATTTAACTTAACATCTATGTTTATCCCCAATCTTAGAGGAATGAGCTCTAAGCGAAGCCCCTTTAGAGGGGACTTTATGGAAATATATAAGAAGCTAAAGCAAAAAAGAAAATAAGCCCAGAAAAATTAGCCTGAATGTATTTTGCTCTTAAGCCATTTGCTTTAAGATCTATGCCCTGTGGAAGACTGTACAGGCAAGCTTTCAACTAAAATATTGGTTTGGCACAGAAGGCTGACAAATTCTCTCTGTAAGATTTGTCTTTCATGCAAATTTTTCAAGAGAATTTTTAGAATATGGTGTGCTTTATAACATTTAAAAGGAAATTGAATGAATATTTGAAGAGAAACAAACTAAAAGGATATGGGGAAAGTGCGGGGAATCGGGATGAGAGTAAATAGGTCCAGTGAAAGATCCACCCACCAGCTCAGTTTCCATAGGCTGAATGGCCTCCTTCTAGAATATAACAACATTAGAAAACACAAGATGCCATTCAGCTCATCGAGCCAGTTCCCCCAGTTTATATGATCTCAGCAGATCTTTTATTCCAATGCCCTGCCTTTTTGCCACACCCTTTAGTACCTCTGAACTCTACCTCATGATTCTATACGAAGGATAGAATTTATCCCTTACATATTCTACACTCTAATTTAATTTTTCTTAGATTTGTTTTAGTAGTTTTATGATTTTTTTTTTACTATCTCCCTCCCCAATTTAGATGTCCCTGGACACCCCAGAACATGAGGGTGGCAGACTCTCTCCCAACACACCATTCTAGACCCAACAACAAGGAGGTGTATGAGAGCAGCTTGGGATGATTCCCTCCAGGTATTACATTCCTGAGGAGGAAATAGCTTTCCTCCACTTGGATTTTTACTCAGCAGGCTCCGTCCTGCTCCATATCCCCCACCGGCCCACCCCATCATCAGTGGTCAGGCCTTCAGCCTCTCTGCCCCCACTCTTTGGAACTTCACCCACATCCCCTTTGCCTCGCTCCCTCCCTGCATCCTTCAAGGCATGTCCTAAGACCCTCCTCCTTGACCTCGCCTTCGAAAGTGCCTTCGGCCACCCTCCTACCCTCCCCGCACTCCACCCTCTCTGATCCCAACCCCCCCCCACTGCTCGAGTCCAAATCCTTGACTGTCCAGCGCCTTGGGATGTCTTCCCGATGTGAAAGTTGCTATACAAATGTAATTTTGTATTATATTTAGCAAATGCTTTTGTTTCACAAAGACCCTCAGTAATCAAAGGATTTCTCTACAGATGACAGAGAATCAGGGAAGATATGAAGCAGAAATGTTGCTCTATCATTAGGTAAAGAGTGGGACTTAAGGGATCCTTGCAGAATACATCCACCATCCAGCATAGATTTGATCACAATGGATCAAGCAAATCTTTGTATTTTATTTTTAACGCTGTGTCTGTTGAGTGCTTGCTGGCA